GGAAGAGGAGACGACGGCGGCGGCTGCTGCTGCTGCTGCTGCTGCCCGGGGGCTCTGGTGTCGTCTGAGGCGTGACGGGCTCAAGGAGTGACTTTGTAGGGCTGAAGGCATCGCTTGCCAAGCGCTCCCTACCCCACGGCTGTAAATGACAGCTTAGACGGCGCGTTAAATCGACCGGTAATTACAGGGGGAAGCCTTTTTGCAAATAGCACACCCCGAAATAGGAAAAAAGAAAGAAAAAAAAAAAATAGCAGCCGCGGCACCGGGCTGGGAAGGCAGCGTTCCTCCCCGGCCGCAGCCACTCCCCGGCTCCTCGTGGTTTTACGTCCCTCTCTCATAAGCAGATGTATTTCTGGCGGCGCGTTCGAGGGGCGTGGGGCTCCCCAGCTATTTTCATCCCGCGTGAGGAGCGGGGAGGCAGGGGACAGGGCATCACCCTGCCGAGAAGCCCCAGGCAGGTATACGGCAGCCCCGTGGGGTACAAAGAGCCCTTTCCAGCACCCAAACTAGCGGGAGGGGCTGGAAAAAGTCCTGCTGCCCGGCCCCAAGCTTTTGGGGACGGGCCAAGAGACACCCAACGCTGGTGGCTGCGATTTTGAGGCCGAACATCCACTGCGGTTCCCCAACTTTTCAATCTCTCCACTCGCCTCCCTCTCAGGGCACGGGGGAAGGAACCTGGCTCCAAGGCAAGCTCCCGAGGGAGAGGGATCCCGATAACGGGGTCCGGAAATAAGCGATAGGGAAATCAGAAGGGGCGGTGGGATAGAAAAAAGATTCTCCCGGCAGCACAGTCACTCCCCAAAAACCCACGCCGACACCTCTGGCAGCGCAGGGCAGAGGGAGTCCCGGAGCTGCTCGGCCAAGCCAAGCAGAGGAACTCCCCACGCAGTCTCTCGGCACAGCAAAAAAACCCCACAGCCACTGCCAAATTGCTCTTTCGATGGATTTTCGAATGAAGGGAGTCTCCAAATTTGAACGCGGAGCGCCAGGATACGAGGGAAGAGCCTGCTAAACAGCTCTGGAGGGACGAGCGGCGGCCCTCAAACCGGGAGGGACCGCACCCAGGTGCGATCAAACCTGCCCAGAGCCCGAGATCCGCCTGGCCTGAGCACAGAGAGACACGCAACGCTTCACCTCTGCGGGAACTGCATCTTTTATTGCTCGGAGACAAGTTCAAAACATGGCTTGGGCAAAACCCAGTTTCTACCCAGCCTCGTTTGTCCGAACGAGAGGCTCTTCAGCGTGCCCAGCCACTTTTCTGCACCAAATCAGGGCAAGGAGCACACGCAGGTGCCTGGTTTGAAGCCAGCGACACTGGCACCAACACAGGAGGTCTCTGGCAAGCGGCAGAGACCGTAGACTTCATCACACCGCCGGCTCCAAGGTGGACGCCGCTGCAGAGCGGCCGGACCCAGCACTACCACGTGCCGGAGATGCGGAGACAGACGGTACCGCTCCCGTCCTGCCTCATTAGTCTTTAGCGACATCCAGCTCCAGCTGCTTCAAAGTCTTTTGGAAGAAGAGGGGCGGCTTGCAGACGAGGTCTATCCGCTCACCCAGGGGCAGGGAGAGCCGGTGGGCGTGGAGGTGGAGGGGGAGGTGGCGAGCCTTGCTCTGCTCCAGCTTCAGCCTCTTCAAGGTGATTTCAGGAAGCTTCTGCGGCGAGGACAGAAAACGTCCCTTCCACAAACCCATCTCTTCAGCTGGGGCTTGAAAACCCCGGCCCAGGGGGAGCTGGGGGACACAAAAGGGCTGCCCGGCCCTGGACCCGCCTCTGGCTCTGGCAGCGCCCCCTCCCCGACACAGGACCTGCCTTACCTGGGGTGCCAGCTTGCTCCAGTGTGAATATTTGTGATCCCCCAGGATGGGGCACCCCAACCCATAGGCCAGGTGAACCCGGATCTGGTGCTTCACCCCTGAGGAGGGAAGGGAAAGAGGAGAAACGTGACAACCAGCCGTGCCAGGCCTCGGCTCCCACCTGCCACCCTCGGTGCCGGATAATCCCGTGCCAAAATCACCGGCAGCCGGAGAGCAGCCTGGCAACAAACCATCGCCCTGGGGTGGGTTGTTGCCAGAGCCTTGGCCCAAAAAGGATTTCAGTCGTGTCTAACAACGAGCTCCCACTTCCAGCGCCGCTCTTGACTGCAGAGCCGCACAGAAAGCGGATCCAGCAGCCGACGCAGCCCCGGGGACACCCGGGCAGGCCTCACCCGTGATGGGCTGGAGCTCCAGCAGAGAGCAGGCGGAAGAGCTAGCCAGAAGGCGGTACCGCGTCACGGCGCTTTCGGCGTTGCGGTTCTTGCGGATTTTCACCACCTTCCCATCCTCCGGAGACAGGCGATAGTTGGGGGCCAGCGTCATCTGAACGGTGGCGAGAGGGTGAGCCCACGGGAAGGCAGGAGGGGGGTGCCGGGGAGGGGGAGCACGAGGCCAGAATGGCGGCCAAGAGGACGTGCGGCTCACCTTGTAGTGCGACTGGTGGCTCCGCACCTCCTTCTCCACGATGGGGATCTCCACGATGCCCTCGGCGGGGTCTGGGTCCCCCAGGCTAATTGCCCTGGGGAAGGAAACCAGACGCCTGGGGGGTGTCGCTCCAGCAGGAAGGGAACCCTCCCCTCATCCCCTCTCCCCACGACCCAGCCCCGTAAAAAGACGCTCGAGGGAAGATAAGCAAACACCCACCGCTTCCACAAAGCCCCACGTCCCCACAGCCTGGTGACCGTCCCTTCACCCCTTCTCCAAACCCCGCGGGCCCTTCAAAGCCGCTTCTCCACCCAAACCTTTCCTACCAGTAGACCTTCTCCACCTGACGAGTTTTGAAGAGAAGCCGGATCCTCTCCGCCACCTCCTTGCTCCGCGCCAGCACCATCACACCCGTGGTCTCTTTGTCCAGCCGGTGGCAGAGGTGGAGGGGTTCGGCTTTCATGTTCTCCAACATCTTGGCCAAAATCGGCAGCACGTCAGCGATACAATTCTTGACCCCGGGGCCGCCTGCAGGCGAGGCAATCAGGGGGGACGTTCACCTCCCCGTCTACCTTAAGTTACCCCCAAAACGCGAGACGAAGGCTGCGATCTAAAGGTGGCAAACCTCGCGTCCCTCCCTGGGAAGGGAAACCTCAGCGCAGGGAGGACGGAGACAGGGGAGCCCCCGTCAGCGCCCCGGAGCCGCTTCCATTCCCCCCCCCCCCCCCCACCAGCACTCGCG